TAAATAAATAAAATCTTTAAAAGAAAAAAGAAAAAATTACAATGCTGAGACTACAAAAAGCTATTGGAATCACACCAGCTACACTAAAAATAACTTCGTATAAACCAGCAACTCCTGTAACGATGATTCATGACAAAATGTTAGGAATCAGAAAACAAAATTTGAAGGAACCGAAAAGCAGGATTAGATTAAATCAACCGGTCAGCCTTTTACAGCTGTACTAGAAGCAGCACTCGCGAACACGGCACCACCTCCCATCGGCTCACCTTCTGGATCTGTACAGCTAACTCTCTTGTTGGAGCCAAGATCAAAGCCTGAGTTTCGCGAACCTGGTAAAATAATTTGTCAGAAAACAGAGAATCCTCAGTATTCTCAAGGCAGACTGCACTAATTCAGATGCAGATCTATTTTGAACGTTACCATGTGTTAGCCCCACATCTCATTTCTAATGGAGATAAACAGACCCGAATATAAGTTCAAGTGTGAACCCAGCAATTGTGGGGTACACTGGGCAGGATTCTTGCTTGCAGACAAGAACGTCCCCTAAAATATCTCCCCATTTAAATGACAAGAAATATATGACAGAGTATTAGTTAGCTCTCATATTAGTGTGCAGTTCAGAGTCTCTTAAAAAATTTGAGTCCGTACAACTAAATAGACATTTTAAAAAACTATCCTTTTTGAACACTGCAGTTACAGGAGAAAAGGAAGTACTCCCTAGGATTAAAGGAAGGTTCGTTTGAAGAGCGGCAGATTACCTGGATATCCAAACACTGGAGGACAGAAATGCTGAAGGTGGCAGTTTTGCCTGTACCAGACTGCGATCTGAGAAAGAAAACACAGGTACAGGGGTGAAGAAGGACGGGCTACCTGGTCCCACTCTCACCCCCCGACCCTCAGCAGCGCTCCGAGGGGCGGGCTGCAGAAGCACCTGGGCAGCTTCTTCCGACCAGACGCCCACCTCCCCAAGGGGACCAACACCTTCACGGCAAGGGGTGGGACTCCGCGCAGTGTCACAGGCAGGAAGGCCAGCAGATGCAGCTCTTGCATCAGGGGCAGTCGGAGCTGCAGGGTCTATAACCCTGACAGGTGTTAGAGGTGGCAGAGAAAGAGAGATTCCCTTTTTTAAAAATGTAATGCTCTTCTGTAATTTGGGACCAAAACCGTCCTCCAAAAATAATTTTTCTTGTAAACAAGTCTTTAAAATTAAGGCAAATCAGGAATAAAGCCATTAAGAGAGTATCATAAATCATTCCACATGCCAACCGAGAAATAAAGCTGGCTAAAAGTACAACAGCTTTCTAGAGTAAAGCACACAAAAACAAAAAACAAGACACCCTGCGGCTAAAGTCCAGGGAAGGGTTGGCGGCGAGTCTGTGGAAGAGGAGAAGAGCGGCCCTCCCAGCGCACTCAGCTAACTAGCCCCCAACCCCGATCGGTGCCAGGGACGTACTGAGCAATGACGTCTCTGCCTTTAATTATCTGCTTGATGGCTCGCTGCTGGATGGCCGACGGTTTCTCAAAACCTGTAAAAAGAAACAGAGAAAGTTAGTTCTAACCACGAGGACACTGGAAGCTCCTTGGTGCACAGATGGGTATCTTTAAGGCCCCACCTTCACCCCTCCGAACCCAAAATCCAACACACCGGAGCTCTCAAGAAACAGCAGTTGAATGAATTGGGCTGAACTGTATTTTTAAACTAACATGAATCTTATCTGTACAGACAAAATCTCTATAAAAGAAACATCGCTGTAGAATCCAGAGACCCCAGTTAGATTACTAAAAAAACCCCCAACATGTTAATGGTGGTCGTCCGGAGAATGGGTGGGAGAGGCTCGCCTTTTACCCTGACTCCTTCTGTGCTGATGTTACAACACCCTGCATCGCTTTTTACTGTTTCCACTACTTTTTAAACTACGAGAGTGGAAAATGAATCCAGGAGCGCTGTAGCCACCCCTTTCCTCGCCGGATCAGTCTGGACACTGTTCATGCTGCTACATCGGCACGGACTCCACGGCTCGGGTGGTTCTGTGGGGGGTCCACGCTGTGCTCCTTCCACGTGTGATGCAGCCTCATGAACCCCACCCCCTCCAACACAGCCATTACCAAAGAATGAGGCTACTCTGAAGGAGTAAATGTTATCTTCCAGGTGAACAGAAGTTTATGTACAAAAGATGTATTTTAGTTTTTTCTGGGTAGTCTTTTAAAACGTAGTATGGATTCCCCGTCTAACATTAAAACTGTAACAGATGGGGCGCCTGGGTGGCTCAGATGGTTAAGCTTCTGCCTTCGGCTCAGGTCATGATCTCGGGGTCCTGGGATCGAGTCCCGCATCGGGCTCCCTGCTCCTTGGGAGCCTGCTTCTCCCTCTGCCTCTCTCTCTCTCTCTCTCTGTCTCTCATGAATAAATAAATAAAATCTTAAAAAAAAATAAAAATAAAAATAAAACTGTAACAGATGATTTAAAACCCTCGTGATGACCAGGCACACGGATGGGGAACTAAAAACTGTTTGGGGCAGGGATGTCCTGGATGCCAAAAGGCAGGCAGGACTGTCAGCCGGACTGCCGCCCAGCTCGGCAGCAATGGCACTTCTCAACTCCCATCCCCTTGCTCTCTCTAAACTGTGGTAATATCAAGGACTGTTGGGTAAAACGCGGCCTAGTCCCACGCGTTAGGCAAAGATGCTGATCACTCCCATCTGCATCCGCAACCCCACCTATTCCCAGGCTCCCGACATCTCCAACCAGACGGCTCACAGGCCCCTCAGACTCACCTGCCTCCCTCAAGTGCTCCCCACCTACGCAAATGGCAGCACCACCCACCAGGTGCTCACAACATCCAGGAATCCTCTTTCCCCTGCTGCTCACATTCAACCCATCTCCACCTCAACACCATCAACTCTCTCCTGGACTCACGTCCCTCCTTCCTCCCCTGCCTCACCTCTCTTCAAATCCACACTCCCAGAATAACCTCCGAAAGTGCAAATCTGACCGTGTCATTCCCCTACTTAAAACCCTCCAATGGCTTCGCACTGCACTTAGAAACAAAATTCAAGCTCTTCATCACCTCAGAGGATGCTCTGCAAGATCTGGCCCTGCCTGCCGCTCCAAACTCGCCCCTGGGCTCCCACCACGGAGGGCTTCTTTCTGTTCCCGGAAGGCATCCGACTCAGTGCTGCAGGGTCCTGGCACCAGCTGCTCCCTCTGCCCGGTCCTCTCACAACGGGCTCCTTAATCCAGATCTCAGCTCAAATATCAGCCCCCCTGGGAGCCCCCTTACCGAGCAGCCCCACTACTCCCCTCACCCTGCCCCTTCGCAGCCATCACCACTGCCTGAAGCAAGCTCGGCTCCAGGCTGCGCTTCTCCCCGAAGTCACTTAAGCTCCCTCAGGGCACGAGCCTGCGGGGTTCAGTGCTAAATCCTCAGGGCCCAGACAGCGCGGGTCCCTAGCACCTGCTAGATACAAGCCTGTTATCCGCTGCAGGAGTGACCCCCCGGCGCCCCAAGACTTCACAGCCCTCGCCGGGCCCAGCGAGGTGCTGTGCACCCAGGACGACGCGCCGAACCCATCACTGGCCCCGGGACTCCCTCCCGCCCCGCCCCCGCCCTCCCCGCCCGCGCCCCGCGGTCCCCGACCGTAGGCGTAGATGCCGCGCAGTAGGTCCTCCCGCAGGCCCATGGTGTCGAACGTGGGCGTCACGTCCACCTCCTCGCTGGTCTCGAATTCCACTTTGGTCATGTCTTCCTCTTTGAGCAGCCGCTTCCGCGCCGAGCCCGAAGTCGCCATCGTGGCCGTGGCCGCCATGATCCCGAGTCCGCTGAGAGCGGAGCGCGCGCCGCAGCGGAAGGCGGAAGCAGGGCCTCGCGCGGCCGGCGCCAGGAACTGACGCCGGCCGCGCGCGTGCGTACGGGCGTGCGTCGGGGGCCGCGAGCTTCTCTCCACGTGAAAAGGGAGACCGGGCTAGATCGAGGGAGAGGGGCGGTGCTGCTGCCGCTCTCGCGCGATTTAAGCTCCCGCAGGATCTCGCCGGGGGCGGGGCACCGCCCAGCCCCTATAAATACGGCGGAGGCGCACGGGAATGGGTTTTGAGTCGGTTGCCCGGTCGTGGTTACTTACGTCTTTGTCGCCGGGCTGGCGGGCCTGGAGCTCCCAGCTGACGGCCGCCACCGAGCGAGGAGCCCCGTCCGCACCCTCATTCCGCCAAGGTCCCCGGCTCGGGTGGAGGGCGCCCGCTCGCCGCGGGAAAGGCAGCGCTGGCGCCCGATGGAAAACCTCACGCAAACGGTCTCCTTTTGGAAAGCCTTGCTACCAGCTCTGATGAGTTGGCCGGGTTTTAAGACCCTAAGGAAGAGAGCCCCTGCGCGGTCGAGTGTGTGAGGGGAGCGCCCCGGGCACGCCCCCCGGGCTGCGCTGCACCTGCAGCTCCCGGGCCCCATGTGGGCGGGGGGCGCAGACACGCCTGCCCAGGAAGGGGGCCCCGGAGGGCTTGGCTTTTCCCTGTGCACGGGAGCCGGTCCTGCGTCTGACCCTAAACTTCCCTAAGTGCCCCTGATGGCGGGCTTCCCTGCTCGCCCCTGGACCCGCGTCACCTCCTGACCTGGCTTCATTCCGTGTTCGAGATCCAGAGTCGCGCTTTTAACTTTGTGAGGGTTACACTCGCTTTTTCACTGTTTGCTTGGCTCGCATGACTGGGCACGTCTTTAATCCACCACATCTTTCCAGGGGTGTTTGAACGCTCTCCTGTTGTGAAGGTTAATTTAGTTAAAAGTGGATAAATGTTTCATCCACTAAACCAGCCACATGCAGAGTGCAGTGGGTTGCAATGTTGACAGCAAACAAGTCGATGAGGGCTGGCTTCTCCTGAAGCTCTCGCCCTAGGGGCAGAATATGTCCAAATGCTACAAGATGGTTGACCCGATAAACATGCCTAGTAAGAATGCTGGTATTCGTCATATATTAAATATTTCTAAAGCTGGCTTTCTTTCTTAGACTTTAAAATAAAATGTAAGTTGTTATGTCCTCTTACTTCACAAAGGATTATCTGGGGCCCTCTCTGAGGTTGTACACATGTTTTGCAAGCTGTGCTCTTGGGCTGTGTTGTAAAATGCACATGGATTTCAAAACTGTAAGAAAAGAATGTAAAATATCTCGTGAATAACTTTACATTGACTGTCTATTGAAATGACCGTATTTTAGATATACTGAGTCACACGAAATACGTGATTTCAATTAATTGTACCTGTTTTTAAAATACGGCTACTAGAATGTTTTAATTAGACTGTATATGATATTCCTATGGGACAGCGCTGCTCTAGGTACTTAGCCTTGCCAAGAGTGAGGGAAAGAGTAAAGATTACTGACTTTACAAGTTGTGGTATCATTGAGGAGAGAAAAAAAATCCTTGCATTCCTACTAAGTGTGAAGAGGATGATTGCCTCTCTGCACTTGTTCAGAGATTTTTCATCTTACTCACCATCCACCGAGGCTTGTCTTTGGCCTTCACACTTTTACGCCATTTTCCTGGCAATGTTCTTTCGCCGTGTTTGAACACACATCTTAAAAGCCTCTTCCTTTTGTTTGGGGCCAATAACTTTTTGAGTTTGTAGGCCAGAGTCCGTGAAAAGGACACGAGCTTTGGGGATAGGGGGATGGTTGTCGGTGCAGTCTCTCCTGAACAGTGCTCACCGGGAACAATGGGGAACAAGGCCGACTTGGTCTTTGCCCTTGAGGTTAATCTAATCCGATAGGATGACACCCTCCCCCAAAATACAGTTTGTGAAGTGAGGTGCAGGACACGGCAGGGGCTGCACCCGAATATAATAGGCAGGTTCCCCTTGGTGACCACGAGGCCTCTGGGAGGATAAAGAGGGTAAATCCACTCTAGGGAGCTCGGAGCTGGAAGTGGGTTCAATAGATCGCAGCAGAGCCGTGTTTTTATTATGTAGGACAGACGGCCCCTGGCGACTGCAGCTGGGAGAGAGTCCCTCTCTGGGGAGGCTTCCCTGCTCCAGTACTGCACCAGTTTTCACAGCCTATGCAACACACACCGCAGGGTCCGTAGATCTGAAGCTGGTTTTGCCTTATCACCGGTAGGAAGTATAATCTAGTCAGTTGTGTATTGAGAACATGCTTTAGTTACTTGCTCTATTTGTGAAAATATTTGCCCCACGTAGCTATGTTGTGTTGGGCGTAAGCATCTACGTACAACACAGGAATTGACAACCCAGCTTGGGGGTCAGTAACCAGTCCACTGCTTGAACATCCAGATTAATGTTTCCATTCCGTCAGAAACCTAAATTACAATTCCAGCTAGAAGGTGCAGACTAGAAATGGCCCCACTCTGAGTCCCCTAAAACATGGATTTAGAGGGCTTATCACCCCCGGGCCCCTCATCCCAGGACTTTTGGTCACCACAGGGGACCCACCCATTTCTGTTTGGGTGTAAAACTCCTCTGTCTCCTGCACCTCACTTCCCACACTTTTATATTTGGGGGAGGGAGGTTACCTTACCTGATTAGACTAATCGCAGGGAGCGCAGGGTCCCATGTCTGTTTTTTCCCCATCACCGTCCAGCACATAGTAGGTGTGCCTGGATGTGTGGAGCAAGAGGGCAGGAGGAACGCAGGATGGATCTGGCTGTTTGGGAGATCCCCGAGCTCATCCCAGAGCAACGGGGAAGACAGGAACAGATCTGTGGGCTACACCCCAGGAGCCCACCTGCTTCTTTTCTCTGTTACCTGTGTTGGCCTCAGGGTGGAGACAAAGTGGCTGGTCTTGTCCAGGGGCAGAAGGAGGTTTGGGTATAGTGCTGCTGGGCTGGGCTCCCATGAATCATCACCACAGGGGTTGATGCCCTGAATCCGAGGGGCTGTCCCCAAAGATGGACTTCCTGCCAGAGGTCCCTGCCCACCACCAGGTATTAGAGGGTAAACACTAGAGAGGCATGGACCTCTCTAGCCCCACCTAGTCAGGGGGACAGCTTACTAAGCTCCAGAACCCACCGGCTGGACCCAAGACTACACACTGCCGGTGTCCAGCATTTGGGCGGCAGGAGTACAAGAGCATCTTTCTGGTGCAGGCACTGTTCCAGGTGCTGGAAGGGGCAGTGGACAGGACAGACGGCACTGCCTCGCAGAGCTTGTGTTCCGTAGGAGGGCAAGCCCTACAAATCATGTAAACCAGTTAGATAATTGCAGGTTTTAGAATTGCGTGATGCAAAACAAAACAAAAAAAAGCAAAGTGGAAGAGAGTTAGTGGGTCACTGATTTACCAGGTGACTGGAGGACGATGCCCCGTACATTATTAAGAGAGGTGGCCATGGAACACCCCAGGGAGGAGTGTTCCAGGAAGAAGGGACCATGAGTGTGAGACTCCCGGACAGGCAGGGGATTGGTGCAATCAACAGACAGAGAGCCAAGGTGGTTGTGGCATCGTGAACGTGGGCAAGTGTGGGGGTTGGAGAAGAGGAGAGCAAGGCCGGATCATAAAAGGTCTCACAGGATGTGAGTGGAGTTTAAATTCCTTCTGGTGGCCACAGGAGTCACTTCAGGGTGGTCTTTCTTTGGGAAGAGAGGAATGCGTTCTGATAAGCGGTTTAGAAAGATGACCTGGCTGAGGCAAGAGGTCCAGAGGCTGGCCCAAGGGGCCGCAGAGCCCTGCTGGACAGGTGGTGGCGGCTGCCAGAGCCGGAGCAGTGGAGATGGGGAGAGGAGGACTGGGGAGAGGTTGGGGTGATGTATGGGGCGGGCAGGGGCTGTCAAGGCTCAAGAGGACTAAGATGGACTCTTGGGTTTCTGGTGTGAGCATTCTGAGTGGCCGCAGAGAGATGGGGAGGCCATAGGACAGCAGTGGAGGGTTGCCTGGGGGCAAAGTTAATAGATCAATAGACCCCAGGAGTACAGGTGTGCACCAGTTTATGGCAGCATGACTCACGATCGCCAGAAGGTGGGAACAGCCCAGTGTCTGTGGAGGGATGAGTGGATAAACACAACGTGGTCCATCCACACAACGGGTGGAATCATTCAGCCACTATGCTGAGCGAAAGAAGCCAGATGCAAAAGTTCACATGTGTACGATTCTATGAAATGTCCAGAAGAGGCAAATCCATAGAGACAAGAAGTAGATTAGTGGTTCCGGGAGATGGGGGGAGGAGCTGCTCAATGGGCCTATATAGGGCTTCATTTTGGGGACAAAAATGTGCTGTAATTAGAGGTGACGTTTGCACAGCACTGTGAATGAGCTAAATGCCACAGAATGGTTCACTTTAAAATGGCTAATCTTAGGGGCACCTGGCTGGCTCGGTTGGTAGAGCGTGCGGCTGTTGATCTCAAGGTTATGAGTTCGGGCCCCACGCTGGGCATGAAGCCTACTCAAAACAATAAATAAATAAATAAATAATAAAAGAAAATGGTCAATGTCCTATTGTGTGAATTTCACCTGATTTAGCTGGGTTAGATCTGAGACGCCTAGACAGGCAAGTGGGGTTGACAGGCCGGTGGTTGCGTGTATGAATATGAAAACCAACAGAGAATGACCGGTTTTACCTGCTCCTGGGGGAATGGCTGCTTCCTTCCCTCCTCAACCCACTCTCGGCGGTGGCGCGGGCCAGAGGTAGGTGTGGGGTCCACGCTGCCCGGTCTGTACACCAGAGGCCAGCCTCCCAGCCCCTCCCAGCCCCGCCCCGGGGACACGCACTCAGTCTTCTCCAGCGTGGGGTTGAGAACCCGCCTAGAAATTCTGGAATTCTCTCCAGCATTCGTCAGAAGAGCGAAGAAGCATAGTTCCCATTTATGGTAGGTCAGCCTCCACCTGGAACCTGGCCCTGCAGGGCAGTGGGGCCAGTCGCCCCTGTCCTCCACCTGCACTCCAGTTCTCTGGACCTTCACGTGCCTGGCACGACATCTCCACCTGTTGCCAGCATCCTGATTGCAAGGCAAGCCCAGAAGCCCCCCACTCAAGCTCCCTACATTTTATGGATAAAGTGTCACCCACAGGGGCTCTGTGGCTGGCCCCGGGCAGCTCACAGTGACTACTGACCGCTGCTATGGGATGTGGTCACTAGGTGGTGCTGTCCCCATGCCCAGGGGCCCCCCACCCCACCCCACCCCTTGCGAGTTCCTCCAGAAGACACTCTTTCAACCAAGCCAAGGTCACCAGAAATACCAATTTCTTGACCTTGGAAGTGTGGGAAAATCGTCATCCGGGGTCCACCTGACAATGCCGTGGTGACTAAGAAATGGTTTTCGCTCTCCTGTGCTCATGGCCCTTTGGGAACTGGGGGCTTCCTCAACTCTGTCCCTACAGCTCTTGGTATTTCTGTTCCTTACTGCAGAGCCACCTTCAGCACCCACCATTGGCCTCCTCTTTGACTTAGGATGATGGCATTTCCTTGAGTTTTTTATAACTATCTAGAACTTTCCATGCACCAGGCACGGTGAGAAGTGCTTTCCCACCCTGATACAGGTGTGCCACTATTAACCAGAGAGGAAAGAAAGCCAAGCCTCAGGAGTTTAAATATCCTGCCCCGGAGGACAGCTGGAGGGCGGCAGCTCCACGACTCTGGGCTGAGAGCCCGCGTCCGAGTCTGACCTCCGATCTGTGCTCTCACCTGCTCCTCCCAGGCAGCCACAGCCTCGTCCTTCTCACCAGGAGGAGGTTTGGGTTCTGGTTGCTGTTCTGCCATCAACTAGCTGTGTGACCTTGGGAACTGACCTTGTCTGCTGGGATGATAATCCTTAAGGTCCTTCCTGCTCAGCCCATGGAGCCATGAATTTCTCTTCTTTCTTGACTAGTCTTTGCCTCAGTGGGAACCAGGCACCCGACCAATGTTTACGCATTCACCCAACCCATGTGTATGGAGCATCACTGTTCGGGGGGTGGGGATGCAGCAGAGAACAGGAGAGACAAGAATACTTGTCCTCTGGAGGCTACGGGCTCATAGTGGGGAGGCAGGCAAGAAACCAACAAGTAACTGGAACATATCGTGTATTAAGAAGCAATGATTCCGACAGACACAAATGAAGCAGGGTAAAGGGGAGGGAGGACGAGGGTGGGGAGTCCATGATTTTAAGTAGAATGGGAAGATGGCTCTTGAATGGAGTCCTGAAGGAGGAGGGAAGGAAAAGAGCATTTTAGGCAGGAGGAACCACAAGTGTAAAGGCCCTGGGGCTGGAGGGTGCCTGGAGCTTTCAAAGACTTTCAAGTAGCACTTGTGTATGGAGCAGGTAAATGGATAGGAGAGCAGCAAATACGAGATAAGCAGGGCCCTGTGGGTCACGGTGAGGACGCAAGGACTTGTAGACAGAAGGCAACGACGTGCCGTGGCTCATCCTCGAACGCTCTGCGGGCAGAAGAATTGGCAAGGGGGGCATGGCAGCAGGCAGCTGGGAGGTCGTTGCAGATGTCAGGGCACAGTGGTGCAAGTGGTGAGAAGTGACCAGATTCTCGATCTACCCTGACATAGAACAGCCAAGACTTTTGTCTCACCCCAAATAGCGGTCATCAAATGTTGACTTGGGGCAGATCCGTTGGAATTACTTAGATGCTTCCCACAACGGATCCTGAGAACCGAAGAGGAGCTCCAGATTTATCCTGACCTTCCTAGGATTTTTCTGAGGGGTTTACACTCCCAGAGGAGAGAAGGTTCCCTGCACCCCAAGATTCTCCATCATCCTCTGGATCACCGCCACCTGCGGCTTCCTAGGGTTCATACAAAAGCAAAACAAAATTCTTGCACGTGTCCTCCCCGCTGTGAGAATGGATTGGCCCCTGAGGGATACGTGGAGACCCAATGTAAGGCACGGAAGGACGGACCTGTCAGACCTGCTCATCTGCTGCACAGCCGAGTCTCAGGTCAGCCATCGCTTCTCCGCGACAAGGAAGGCCAGGGCATGGAGTCCGTCCCAGGGAGAGCAGGTCAGCACAGCAGGGGAGGGAGGGAGGCCGGTCCGAGAGCTGTCCTCGGGGGAATGAGGGGCTCCTGCCTCATAAGGAGTGCAGGTGACTGCTTTGCAGACCAGAGGAGGAAGCAGCTCGTCCCATTTGGCTTGGCTAAATGACTTAAACGTCCTCTGGCTGCCGAGTGCCCCCTTGGCAGCACGGGTCGCGATGGATGAAAGAATGCTCTGATTTGTGCTCTTATCTCTACACTGTAGAGATGAGTGAAGGGGAAGGAGGGTTTCACCACTCTACTGGTGGTCAGGACACAGCCAGACATTTCCAATGGAGCGCTGGTGTGGGCTCTTAGCTGAGGGGTGCAAGAAAGCACCTCTCTCTTCGCTTGGTGACCGTCTGCCTCACCCGACGTGTTTATAGGTTTATACCGATTTTTCTAAGCTCTCCCTTATGCATCCCCTCCCATTCTGGAGTCCTGTGCGTGTATGTGTGCGTGTGGGCACGTGTGTGTGTGTGTGTGCGTGTGCTCATGCATGTATGTGCTTCTCCTTCCCTCCGTCACAGGCAAGGGAAGACTGAGCCCTTAGCTATGAGGAGGCACGGGAAGGTCCAGCAGGAGGACCCCCATCTCAGATGCTCAAGGTTCCTATGACCTTGGGTTCTCTCTGGAATTGCTGCAAGGTTAGAGGAGACTTTTAGAGTTTAAAATATGCTGGCAGATCTCTGGGGTAAATTTTCTTTACTGTTAGGACTAACCCCGATTTAAATCGGAACTGAGTTGCAAAGAAACTCCTACGTGTTTTATTGCCATTTGGGGTTTGATTAGAAGCTGCTTCAGTGCAGGAAGAATGGTCTGAGGTGGCTGCTACTCAGCTACACTCACTCACACCTGACCCCAGTGTGGCCCAGGGGTCCCAGGAGCCGGAACAGTTAGTTGGGGTTTAGACGGTCCCCGGGAGACCTCTGTCTTCAGCTGCCCTGGTGAGGGAGCATGTAGCTTGAGCTGGCCTGATTCTCTGTGTTCACTCTGATGGGAGCAGGAGTCTATGAAAAGTCAGGTGCCATCAGACCTTCCATGGGAGTCCTGCGGAGTCCGGGGCCAGATCTGAAATGAAATGGACCCAGGGCTCACCACGCAGCGAGGAGTACAGACTGGGGTCCCTACTTTTCTCCGCCCCCAGGATGGTCCCCCCACCTCTGCTGAGCTTTCTCAGCCCACCAAGGTGCTCCCAACAGAAGATCTTGGATTTTACGCTGGTCAGCGTCAACACCCCCTGCCCCCGAGCTGCTGTTCAGGTACTTTGAGGGTGAGGGGCTCCGTGATCTGCACCTAGACAGACCGAGCGCTTGTGACCCCAGCCAGAGTCTGCCCAGGCCCGCTGCAGTGGGGCCCCTTCGGAGACCTGCCCGTCTTCAATCCGCACCCCCTGCCGGCCAAAAGGTAGTGGCCTTTATTACTTACTTGGAGTCCTTGGTTTTCGTTTGGAATTGTTTTCTAGTACGCTTTTGCAAAGTGTCATTCCCTAGCACATGTCCTGAGTGTCTCAGGACAAGTGTCCTGGGGCCACGCCAAATAAAAGCAGTGTGCTTTCTGTGCAAACATCCCTCTCCCGAGCCCTGCTTCCCACCTATTCCCCCCACCCCCTCACCGTGGCCTGCGGGCGCCTCCTCTTGTTGCTGGGGGGCTGGATGGGCCGTCCAAACCTTCCCACTTATTCCAGGCAGTGTCCCTCCACCTTCTGCCGTCCTCATCCCTTAAGGAACCCTGTTAGACATTTCCTCCCTCACTGTGCTACTGCAAGATAGTAATATCACAGGTGGACTGAATGTCTGTTTATGCACAGCTGTGCTTTGTACATATAAGGGTAAGAATTTTTACTCAAGAACCAATTTTCGGCCCCTTGGGGGCTACGTCACCCCAGTTGAGAACGCATGTTCCGGATCAAGCTTGTAAATCAGCTCCCCGGGGCCAAGGGCAGTTTCCTGTGCTTTAAAGGCAAATTCAGTGTCCTCGCTCTTCTCCGGGGAGAGGAATTGACTTGAAATCAACAATAAGGATGGATAATCAGCGCCCCCGCCCAGGTCATGGGACACCATCCTCTCCAGATGGCCGTTTCCCTCCGCGCCCGTGACCTGGGCCAAGGGGGTTGGGCTGGAAAGGCCTCGGCGGGCCTGGAACCAGCCGTCCACGGCCGCCCTCTCCTTCCAGCGCCCCCGGGCGCCCGGCCATGGCAGCGCTGCGCCACACAGAGTCCACACTGACGGCGCTGGACGAGGACACGCTGTGGGAGCTGCTGGAGAGCCACTGCCACAAGATCGTGTGCAGCATCTGCCCCAGCCGCCTCACCCCCTCCCTGCGCCAGGCCAAGGTGCTGGACCAGCTGGACGAGGAGGAGGTGCTCCACAGCCCCGGGTTCACCAACACCGTCATGAGAGTCGGTGAGGACCCCCGGCCCCACGCCGCCGGCCCCAGCGGACCCCCTCCCTGCCACGCGAGCTCCACACAGGCCATGCTGCGAAGCCCGGGGCCAGGCAGGGAGCGCAGGGCTTTAAGGACCTGGGGGCGTGGGGACACTCTAGTGCCTTCCCGGGGCTGCCGTAACAGATGTCCACAAACCGGGTGGCTGAGACCGGCAGAGACGTATTCGCCCATAGTTTGGGATCCAGGTGTGGGCAGGGCTGCACTCCCTGGAAGGCTGTAGGGACACACCCTTCCCTGTGTCTTCCTGGTGGCCCCAGGCGGTCCTCGGCTTGTGGCCACACCCCTCCAGTGTCCGCCTCTGTCCTCGAGTGGTCTTCTCTGTGTCTCCTCTTCTGTCTCTTACGAGTGCACTTGTCATTGGATTCAGTGGATTCAGGGCCCCCCTGGATAACCCAGGATGATCTCATCTTGAGATCCTTACCGTAATTCCATCTGCAAAGACCCTTGTTCCGGATAAGCTGCCGCTGACAGGTTCCAGGTGGAGGTACCTTTGGGGGGCCATTCCAGATGTCTTTGGAGCCGATTCTGACAGTCTGACTAGCTATGTTTAGTCACTGAAAACCAGGGAAGCTAATAGCTTCACGCTGTCAGATTATTAGGAGATCGGATGAGACAGTTTGTAAGATACTCATCTCCAAGCCCGGGCCAGAGGAAGCAGGCAGTAAGTGGTCGCTATTAACATGATTCTATTTCCGCCTGTTCCTTATGAACCTCAGATATAGGAGAAAGGAATCCAAGCCACTAAGCCAGGCTGAGAGCCATGGGATCGGGATGGCGGGCTCCCTGGGACTCAGGCCCTGGGGCGTTGCCCTTTGCTTCTTTCATCCCACAAGCTTTGTACACAGTGTCTGCACTTGTCCACCAACACACCTGGGAGGTCTTGAGAGCAAAGGTCATCTTCCCGAGTCTTGTATGGCCAGCCCTTAGCGCTTGGGTTAGAGTAGTCGCTCAAGGAAGGTCAGCCCGGCCCTTCGGGAGACCAGCTGCAGACACGTCAATTAAAGGACCCACAAGGGCAGTGCGGGCACCTGTGCCCAGGGATTCTGGAAAACTGCTTTCACCTCCTGATCCCTAGATGTGCAAGGATTTCCTCCACCTCCCCACCGTGCTTCCCAAGGCAAGCCCACCAAGAGCCTTGTGAGCTGACACCGTTCTCTCCCCCAAGGGCACTTGCTGGATTTGCTGAAGACTCCAGGGAAGAATGGGGCCATTGCCTTCCTTGAGAGCCTGAAGTTCCATAACCCTGACATCTACACCCTGGTCAGGGGGCTGCAGCCCAAGATGGACTTCAGCAACTTCAGGGGTGAGGGCTGGGTCTTGGGGGGTGGGGGTGGGCGTGCCTTCTTTGGAGCGTCTGGGTCCTAGTGCCTGCATGCTCTTCCAGATGCTTCTCCTGAACCCCCCCAGCACTCTGGGGGTGAGGAGACCCCCACTAATCATGTGCAGGTATAGAAGAAGGAACCCGTGACCTCTGGTTCTAAAAGAAAAGATCTTGGGGTACCTGGGTGGCTCAGTGGGTTAGGCATCTGCCCTCAGCTCGGATCATGATCTCAGGGTCCTGGGATCGAGTCCCGCTTCGGGCTCCCTGCTCAGCGGGGAGTCTGCTTCTCCCTCTCCCGCCTGCTCTCTCTCTCAAATAAAATAAATAAAATCTTAAAAAAAAAAAAAAAAAGAAAAGATCTGTCCCTAACTATGCAGTACCAACAGGAGACTCCTCTTGGGGCACAGAATCTACATTTGAGAGGTGTAGGGAGAGGGCATGTATGTCCTTTCCCTAGAAATGCTCCTGAGGTGGCCCTAGCCTTGGCTTACGTGGAAGGGGCAACCGGGTCCTGGAGAGGCCCCTGCCGGGAGGGAGGAGGAGAGGAGCGGGCAGCCTTCTGCACCTTCACTCAGCCAGAGAACGAAAGATCTAGCCGACCTGATGGGAAATAAGGCCATTTTCATTAATTGAGTGATTTTAGGCTTCCCTGGAGGAGCTGTTGAAAGATTTTGGGGTACAAAGGGCAGGACCAACATCACTCAAAATGGATGAGAAAACTTTTCTGCCTGTTTGGCGTCACAGTCCATGGTTACGTTAGCTAGAGTGCTGCTATATGGATTCATGTTCCTTGTTATGTTTCTCTTAGGATGACATGGAGGTGAGTTGGCATCGAACACACCTTAGCTAATGAGGGGGAGCTGGGTCTGCACAGCAGGCTCCCACGGGGAAGCTACGGGGGATAATCCTCGTTCCAAAATCACCAGTCATGCTATTTATATAACCAAATATTGAGTCCGGTTGAGCCCAGAAGTTTTTAAGGAGACCCACAGATTAGGGTGGGGGCTCCTGCTTAAGAGTCTGGGTGGAGGAAGCAAAGCCCCTGGGGGACAAGGAGGGAGGGCGAGGTGGCCTACCTGCCCCTCCTCCGCAGGGCTCATGGAGACGTCCAAGCTGACCGAGTGCCTGGCCGGGGCCATCAGCAGCCTGCAGGAGGAGCTGAGCCAGGAGAAGGGGCAGAAGGAGGCCTTGCTACGGCGCTGTCAGCAGCTGCAGGAGCGCCTGAGCCAGGCTGAGGCCCACGCCCAGAGCCTGGGCCAGATGGAGGCCGACCACGACCGCATGAAGCGCGAGGTCAGTGCCCACTTCCACGGGGTGCTGAAGCTCAAGGACGAGATGCTCAATCTGTCCCTACGCTACAGCAACGCGCTGCAGGAGAGGGAGCTGGCCACCACGCGCTGCTGCAGCCTGCAGGAGGAGGTACGCGGGCTGGCCCCCCAGCCCCCCGCCCGGGGCCCCTCCGGTGCTGGCCTGTGCAGCCATGAGCTGCCCTGCCTGGAATACCCTGGGGACTGGCTGGCCCGGGAGGTGCCCTCAGTGGGTGGGGAGGCCCGCCCTGGGCCCCGCCGCCGTGGACACACCTGGGATCCACCTCGCTCCAGCGCTGTTGGTAACCTGGGGCCCGTGGGCCTCTGCCCGCCCCTCCTGTATCGTTCTCAGCGGGGCCTGGGTCTGTGCAATAGGCCAGAGTGTCATCAGTGAGGCCGTCAGACCCCCAAACACCTTCACTCATTTTTCTGCTGGGAGCCATTATCTTCTGATTGATTTGTAGCAGTTCTTTAAATACTGAGGACATTCCTTATCATCTTGGCATCTGTTGGTTGCCTTTAACTGTGGCTAGGTGTGTTTGTTTTTAGTTTTTACATCTTAACTATATTTAGAAATCATTTCAAATTTATAAAAAAATACGAATAAAAATATCTATCGTCAACCCTTGAACTGCACGAACCCACTTAAACCCAGATATTTTTTCCATAAATGCAGCACTGTAAATGTAATTTCTCTCCCTTATGATTTTCTTTCTTTTTTTTTTTTTT